GCTTTAAGTCTGATCCCATGAGCTAACTAGGGAAGACTTCACAGCCAGGGGCCCGGCACGCCTGCCGGTGGTCTCAACCCGAGGCTTCAAGCATCTGAGTGTGTTTTTAACTCCGAAGGGGAGATTTTATTTTGGAAAGAGGAACCGGATACTGCTTGAATTTTTCTGGCTTGGACTGGATATGAATTGAAATTCGGATGCGGGTTTTATCTCATTTAACTCTGACGCTTGTTATAGGAATAACCACAATCAAGTGTAACTTATGATCTGTTCAATTTGTGTAAATAAATGATTGCATGGTCTTTTATGAATCAACTTGAACTCGTCTGAACGTTCACTGATTGTGTCACTTTTCACTTCGCACAGTCAAGATATTACAAGTGATGAGAAATACCTTGGTAAAAGTTTCCTCATAACCTTGTGTATGAGAGATGTGGGAAAAGCTTAATTCACTTTAAGCTCACTCCTACAACACTGTGTTCAGATTTTCACCAAATAAAACRTAAATTGATATGGTCTTTGCAGAGTTCTCTCCAACTCCTCTGTAATAAACTGTACAGCCTGTAATGTGCATGTGACCCATTAGAAATCTCTGTAAATAATGTCATAAGTTGGATCAGTGTCTGATGGTTGCTGAGGAACCTCCACAGTGTTGTTGCATTCGTTTACAAAGAACATTGTTGGAAACAGACACTTGGATGTTTCTTTGTTGCAACAATGCTTCTTGGCTATAAATCTTATATCAGGCCCCTGATTGGCAGCACCTGGGGGTGTCAATAACTACAGCAATACAAGCTGTTTGGCAGAGGAGATTCGACACATTTCTCATGTGCACAACCCACATACTCACCTCTACTGCTCATCCCACAAACGCATGTTCCTTACAAATTTGGCACCATTTAAAATGGAAGTTAACACACTTTCCAACAGTGTAAGATTTATTGCCAAGTACCATTGTTACAACAAAGAAACAATCTATCAAACACACRTTTCCTTGTTTTTGTGCTAAGTCTAATTTTGATTAAAATAACTTTATTGCAAATGTGTCAAAATGAACGATGTTGTTACAGGCAGAGTCTTTCTTGCCACTGTTCATGCCAAAATTTGAAATTTATGCTGAAAAGAGATAGAGTTTTAGTTGTTTTGGTCAAATCTTGTAAATTATGGATCTGAGCTCTCAGAAGATGTGATGGTGTGTTCAGATACTGCATCTTGACCGAGCTGGACCCATTTTTGTGTTGTATTTTCACTATGGTGGCCCTCTTGAACAGTACTTTCTTTGAGTTTTATTCAAATATAAGACATATTTCTAGCATTACGTACACACATACATATAGTTTCAGTTTTAAGGTATATTTTGAAAAGGTTTCCAGCACAGAAGTGCGAGGAAGCTGTCTGATCTGAGGCCACAGATGGAGGAACATCTGTCCCTTCCTTTGTCCTCATGTCACGAGGTCAGTCCAACCTGTTGAGTGTCTGCCTCATGCACCTACTTCAGCAAACTCTAATCACCTGTTTCCACTCTCCAACTATATCAGATTGTCAATACTCTAGTTTGTATGGTTTAAACGAAACAGAAGTTGCACCAAACCCTGAGTCAGCATTATATGACGTAAGTGTTCAGCAGCAACTCTCACGTGTCTTTTGTCTTGTTGTTTTTGTTGTTGCACCTTACTGATCGCCCCCCCCCCCAATCCCCTCCTCCCGGTGTGTGCCGTCAACCCTGACGATGTGCGAACTATTGGTTATGCCGCGTGACCGTGGGCACGTGCACGCGGCCTCTTCATCACCTGTAGCAGAGGGATACCTTTGCAATGCTAACCAGCGACCAGTAAAGGCCGCGACATTCCTGTCCGATGAAAAGCTGCCACATGATGTTCAGCCACGCGGGATTTTTACGCGCCAGTGGAGWTCATTCTGTCGAACCGCGATGCGTTTACGTGCGTCATGACGTGCATTTTAGTTAATAACATAAAAATAATTAAATAAACCAAAATGGTTAGGGTGTAGTTTCTGCACTCATGAAACAGCAGTTTTTTKKGGGGGGAGGGGGGTGTACTAATGGGACACAAGCGCATCCACCCATTGCATCATTTCACCTGAAGGCAACCGATTTAACAGCTATGCTTCCACATCACCATCACCATCACCATCATCATCATCACCACCATCATCAACCACCATCATGTGGTTCTTGTCTCGTGTTATTCTCGGCCTGCGGACAAGCTGGAGAGCAGAGTCACCATCTATTCACACGGTTTACTCCCCGCAGAGAGAATGCGCTCAGAGTGGTTGGGGTCCTCAAAAATGTCTTTTTGCTGCCGTCCTGACACCTCACGGGGAGATTGGCTAAGTTGTTTATTTAAAAATATTGAATATGCAAAAGCAGAAAAATGTAATTTTATAGTATTTTTTATGTAAAAGGTTAAAATGACTTTTTTTCTATGCAGGTTTTGTGTTTCGCCCCTTTTTACCATTATTTGGAAATAAATGTAAATAAAAAAATCTGTCGGTGTGAGGATTGCAAACATTTTTTAAGCAAAAAAAAATATTTTTCAAAGCAAAAAATGCGCAGTCGGGATCTCGCGAGATCTGCACTTTCCTCGCAGCTTTTAGCACCTGTGGTGAAGAGGATGCGGAGAATGGAGACGGTGGCGCCGCGCGCCTTGACGCAGACGGGGTGTGTCGTTGGGCGGAGACCTGCCCACCCACCCCGCTGCGTGTCCCTGGCTATATGAAGGAGCAAACTTTAGGACACATCAACAACACCGCAGAGGAGGAGAGTTGGGAACATCGGACGTGTATTCAGTTTTCCTTTCTGTCTGGAAACCGTCGGAGGCGCACTGCGTTCAGCGCGCGTTTTCTTTTGTTGACATATTATCAGAAGAAACCTGAGCTCGTCATGCCTCGATCTTTCCTTGTGAAGAAGTACTTTTCCAACAAGAAGCCTCATTACAGGGAAAGCCAATTAGACAGCCAAACTGGTAAGTTTTTTTTGGTGTGAATTTGTTTTAAATAATTTGACAGACTAGTATCCACCTGGTCCAATTTTCTGCACAGAACAGAAAGATGAAAACGGTCACATCTGTTATGCGCTGAAAGTTTTAAAAAGGGCACATGTAATCACCTGGAAAAGCCTGATCATCAGACTTGTGATGAATGCAGTAACATGAGAGCAAGAATGAAAATCAGATTATCTGCATTAACCAACCTGACTTTTCTTTCCTCTGCAGCTGTCGTCCCAGAAAGTTGCCCCCGAGCTGAACTTCCAGCGCAGGACAACAGTTATGTGATGACCCGGAGCCCGTTCTCCGTCCCCATGGACGCCCTGCCTGCACCGCTGTCCCCGATCACCCCCGTGTCCCTGCCTCCACCGCTGCTGCACCCTCTGGACCTCAGCAGTTCCCCCTCGGGCAGCAGCAGTGAGGAAGAGGAAGACGGAGGCCGTACCTCCGATCCCCCCAGCCCGGACGCGGTGCAGCAYGTCTACTTCAGCCAGAGCTTCAGCAGCCTCACTGCACTCTCCCATCACCAGGCGTCCCACCACCTGCCGCCGCAGGCCAGCCCCTCGCCTACAGAGGCCTCCGCACGTCCAGCTTTCCACTGCAAACACTGCCCCAAGGAGTACACCAGCCTGGGGGCCCTGAAGATGCACATCCGCTCACACACGCTGCCCTGCGTGTGTCCCACCTGCGGGAAGGCCTTCTCCAGGCCGTGGCTGCTCAGAGGGCACATTCGCACACACACAGGTAAGACGYTGATGATTTTTCACCCTGTCTGCTCGTTGAATGCAACAGTTGCACTTTGATATGTATTGAGCAAACGTTATCGCTCAGCAGGGGACAATTCTAACCCCCTGCTTTAACTAAACAAGAGCTGTTCTTTATTTGTTTTGTTAATTTTGTACATTTGAAAAACAATCACGTTGGAGGACGAAGCTCGTGTTTCTCTWATGGCGACTTCTTCTCTTCCTCAACCACCAGGAGAGCGTCCCTTTGCGTGCCAGCTCTGCAACCGGGCCTTCGCCGACCGCTCCAACCTGCGCGCCCACCTGCAAACCCACTCGGAGGTGAAGAAGTACCAGTGCRGCTCCTGCTCGCGGACMTTCAGCCGCATGTCCCTGCTGCACAAACACAGCGCCTCCGGCTGCTGTCCTGGCTCCTAGACTCGCATTCCCTGGACTTGATCCTGGCTCAACACACACACAGACAACAACAAGGACCATCAGGCCGTGTAAAGAAAAAACTAAAATGCAGCTCTGCTTTTTTTTTTAATGAAATGACTTTGTCTCAAGTGCCTTAAATTCCCTGTATAGTTTGTACAAATTTGAGCTCCTGCTGGTATCTGCTGCATCCTGCCCACTGCATCTGTGTGTGTGATTTGGAGGGGGCCAGCTCAACGGGCGGTTTAATTCCCAGGGAAAGTTCTGCTGGTGCCGGCCGGTCCGGGACTCTGGCCACGCTGCAGCTGCTCGGGGTGTGTTTTTTTTTTTTTTTTGTGTGTGTGTGTCTGTGCGTGGATGTCATTCCTCACTGCACTATACATGCATACATGATGCGTGGGTGTTGAGACAGCTGTCTGTGCACCCTGGAGGCAGGGTGCTGAGAGATGTAATAGCTGCTACCTCCACAACAGGTGACATACACACTAACCACAAACTCTCATGTGCTCCAGAAAAAAAAAACACTATCTTGACCAATTTTTTTCTAAACTCAGTCTGATGTGCAGTTTTTTAAAAAATGTGTAAACTTTTGCCATTTCGTAAATAAAAGCTTTKTACAAAACAACTCTAGCTTGTGTGTGTCCTTTTTTTTAATGCAGCAGTATTTCAACAGGGACTGTATTGATGTACAAAGTTCATTAGGACATGCATGACAGTTTCTGAATGGGAAGACAGAGCTGTGCATTTTTTTTGTACAGACCAGTGTGTGTTCAGGGGGGAGTGGGGAGAGGTTTATGGGATGTTGAGTGATGAGGGGAACACCTGCACACACCTGCTGGGCTGTTGGGAAACATGGAGAATACACACTGTGCAGGTGGTATTGGGG